AGCAAGACCCTTATCTCTACAAAAAGTAAACATTAGCCAGGCATGGTGGCATGCTTCTGTAGTCCCAGCTACTAGGGAAGCTGAGAGGTGAGAGGATCACTTGAGCCCAAGAGTTTGAGGCTGCAGTAAGCCATGATCACCAGTTTTCATCTATCAGATTGGCACTTTTATCCTTTTTTGAAGGCCTTTTCAGTAGATTCCATCAAATAAAAAATACACATATCCATTGACCCAGCAAAAATTCCAGGAATGTATCCTACTTGCACACGTGTGCAAAGAACTATGGGTGAGGAGATTTTAATATCTGTTACAAGAAAAGATTACAGACAACTGTCCACCATTAAGAAGCCAGTTAGGCTGGGTGTGGTGGTTCATGCCTATAATCCCAGCACTTTGGGAGGCTGGCAGGTGGATCACCTGAAGCCAGGAGTTCGAGACTAACCTGGTCAACGTGATGAAACCTCGTCTCTACTAAAAATACGAAAATTATCTGGGTGTGGTGGCAGGTGCCTGTAATCCCAGCTACTTGGGAGGCTGAGGCAGGAGAATCGTTGGAACCCTGCAGGTAGAGGTTGTAGTGATCTGAGATCGTGCCATTGCACTCCAGCCTGGGCAACAAGATCAAAACTCCTCAAAAGAGAAAAAAAAAAGTCAGTTACATAAACTATAGTAAGAGGCAAATGAGTATACCATTTGGATATTATCTATGCCTTGAATTCCTTTGTCTCCTTTTTTCACATAGCTAGCTCTCTCACTTACCATAACTTGCAGTTACTTCATTAGTTCACTTGTATTTTTGGTTCCCTCTCTCTTTAGAATGTGAGATCTGGCCAGGAGTGATGGCCCACACCTATAATCCCAGTGTTTTGGGAGGCCATGGAGGAAGAATTGTTTGAGGCCAGGAGTTCAAGACTAGCCTGGGCAACATAGCAAGACCCCATCTCTACAAAAAAATAAAAATAGAATGTAAGATGTGAAGGGGGCAGGGTCTGATTGTATTTTTTACTATCGTATTCCCAGCACTAGTGTTGTATTCGATATTCAATTTAAAATGACTGACTGTATCTCAAATACAAGTCATCCTTATTGGTGAAGCATTCTCATTAAAATTAATCAGCAAAAATATACCGTTATTATTTAGCATTATTTGGGAAGCATAGCCAAAGCAATTAGACAAGAAAATGAAATAAGAAATTTAAATGTTGAAAGAGTTGAAAATATTAAAGTTTATATGTCTATACACTTGGGGGCAAAATACAAATAAACAGAAAATTTAATGGGAGAATTATTCTGGGCTAACCCTTTGCTGTTGCCTTGGCCAAAGTGATTTTGCTATGTAGGCATTTTTAGGTGAACCTTTTAGCTAAATATAATTTCAAACTTTAAAAAAATGGCATATATATATATATACCCTTTACCCAGATTTATCTATTTATGTTTTACCTCATTTAGCTATATTAATAACCATGTCTCTCTGTATACATATGTAATTCTGTTTTGAAACGTTTATAAGTGAATTGAAACCATTGCATCCCTGAATTGAAACCATTGCATCCCTCAACACCCAGCTACTTATTAGTGTATATTTCCTAAGAACAGTGATTTTCTTTTCTATAGCCAGTTATCAAATCAGGACATTTAATATGAATGTAAGGCTACTATCTAATCTACAGTCCATTTTCAGAATCTGTCAGTATGTATTTAGTTGCCAAGTCTGTTTAGTCACCTGTAATGTGGAAACACTCCTCACTCTTGGTGTTTCTTCACCTTTAGATTGCTGAAGGGCATCAGTTAGTTTGTAAAAATGACCCCCAATGTTGATTTATCTGATGTTTCCTCCATGATTAGATTGAGATTATGAATTTTTGGTGAGAAAACCACAGAAATGGTATCGTGCCCTCCATATCAGGAGAGCACAATGTTGGTTTAACTCCGTATTTTGATGATAGAGTTGACCATTTGATTTAGATGGTGTCTGCCAGATTTTTCCTGTAGTGTTATTATTATTATTATTATTTGTAATTAACAAGTAATCTGCAGAGTGATACTTTGAGACTATTTAAGTATCTTATTTCTCATAAAATTTTTACTCCCTAAGTTAAGCATCCATTGATGGTTTTCTAATTCATCATTCTTTTGTATTTATTATTTGTATTCTACTTTAAGAAAGAGATTTCCTCTTTCCTTCATTTATTTGTTTATATTTGAGTGCACTCATTGATTCTTTTGTTCAACTCATTTTATTCAATGAGTTATGACTATTATTATATTATAGGATTTTTGACCTAATTTTGGCTTCTTGTAGTGTGAATTTTGACCATATAGAATTTCTCTGCCTCCAGTCATTCTCTTCCTGAGTTTTCAGGCAAGACATCTTACATACCTTTGTTACCAATTCATTACACTCAAAAAGTTTCCCCCACAAAAAAAGCCTTCCCAGACTAAAGTTTTCTTGATCAGTTCCTCTATGGGTTTGATCTATATCAACCACTTGTTTCCCTGTTACTATTTATGTAATATAGGTGACATTTTTGTGTTTGCATGTTTGTGTGTGTCCATGTGTGTTGTATTAATGCATATATTACATATTTAGGGGAGTTTGTTTCATGGTTCTAAAATAGATCATTTGATTTAGAGATTAGAAGTTCTCTCTCTACCAACAGCAAATTTTTAAACAAAGTTAGCTGCCTCAGGTATCCAAAGTTTTGAGTTTGATTATCTTCAGATTTAACAACAACAAAAAACCTTACCCTTGGCAAAAGATGAGAGGTAAAAAGTGATCAGTCACCTTTTCTTCCTTCCCCAGATTTTTATCAGTATTGTTGCAGGAAAGAACAATCCATCAGAAGTAGGATCTCTATCAAAGTCTTAGGATATTGTGTCTAAGAGTTCAGCTATTCAACAAATACGTAGTAAGGGTCTGTTATGTGCCAGAATCTGGGTTAGGAAGTGGCCAATAGCAGGAACCAAGCAGACAGAGCCCTTGCCTTCCAAAAACTAGCATTCTAGTAGGACAAACAGCAAACAAATAAACATGGTAATATATCAGCTGGTGCTAAATGCTATGGAGAAAAAATAAAGCAAGATAAGGGAAATAGATTTTGGTGTAGTGTTTTTATGTAGAGTGATTAAGAAAGAAAACTGGGATGGCAGATATTTGAAGAGACCTGGGGGCAGGAGGATAAGAGGGTTGAGAGAGCTTATAGGCAGAAAGGGCTGCAAATACAAGGGCTGTGAAGTGGGAGAGTGCTTGGTGGACCTGAGGACTGAGCCTTGGGACATTGCTATGTTTAGATATCAAGGGGATGAAGAATCAGCAAAGCAGAAGTTCTTGATGAGGTAGGAGAATAGAGAGGTACTTGGATGCCAGGTGAAGAAGCTGTTTCCAGGAGGTGGTGGTAACTAAGTCAAATTTTGCTGATGGATGAAGAGAAAATACACTGAGTACAGATAACTCTTAGGAGGTTTTTGGTTTAAAGGGGAGCAGAAAAATGGGATGGGATCTGAAGACTAGTGTGGGACCAAGGGAGTGGTTTTTAAGAGTGGGGGTATTCGTGTATGATAGTAGGCTGATGGGAATTGTCCAGTAGATGAGAAACAACTGTTGATGCAGAAGAGAGGGGAGAGTAGCAGGAGCAATATCTTGAGCACATGAGCAGGGTTGTAACAGAATGTGCAAAGGGAGAGACTGAGCTAGGACCGAACATCATCTACAGTGTCTAGAGGGAAGGCACAGTGTCACAATTAGGCACAATCAGACAGAAAAGCCAGTAAACCAAGTGGGCCAGCAGAATATCAGCGTCCTTTTTTCCTTATCTTGCCATGATTTTTCTCCTTTCTTCTGGCATCTGTAAATTTCCATTTCTTCAACCTTCACTTAAAAATTTTTTTCCTGTGGTTTGGTGGGAAGGGGGTGTGCCAGTGTGTCTGTTCCTGGAAGAACAGAAATTGTGAAAAAGTTTGACAAGCTTTAATGTTATAGGGGAAAAAAATATATCCAGAGAGCTTTTGATATCATAGTTGAAACTATCTGAATATGCAGTACACTCTAAATGGTAACCATATTTGAATGTTTAGAGGAATTCTCTAGCCTTTTAGTTATTTAGGTCTCCTTATTTATAAAGTAAATTAAGGTAGAAGGACATATCTGGGTAAATAAGTGTAGATCTGTGGAGATGTTTTATATTTATCATTTTCTTGATTATAAAAGGAATATGGCCGGGCACAGTGGCTCACGCCTGTAATCCCAGCACTTTGGGAGGCCGAGGCGGGTGGATCATGAGGTCAGGGAATTGAGACTATCCTGGCTAACACGGTGAAACCCCATCTCTACTAAAAATAAAAAAAATTTAAAAATTTAAAAAAATAGCTGGGCGTGGTGGCAGGCACCTGTAGTCCCAGCTACTCAGGAGACTGAGGCAGGAGAATGGTGTGAACCTGGGAGGCGGAGCTTGCAGTGAGCCGAGATCTCGCCACTGCACTCCAGCCTGGGCTATAGAGTGAGACTCCGTCTCAAAAATAAATAAAGCAATATGTGTGTGTTGTAAAATATTCACAGTTATAGACATGTATAAAGTGAAGTAAACTCTTTCCCACCCTGTTCCCAACCTTCCAGAGAGAACCACAATTAATAGTTTGTAATAATAGTTTCCATATTTGATCAGTGTTTGCTTCCAACTTAGCTGTTTGATTGATTTTGAACAGAAAACTAAAACTGCCTACTGGCAACATTAATTTCCATATCTAATCTAACTCATGAGTATTTTAAATTCAGGGGCTTTATAAGTGCGTGTTAATTTAAATTGCACAGATTCGAACAGCCTGTCTCAGGACAGGATATAAAACTGACCTTTGTTTCTGAATTAAATGTTTCTTTGATACTAAAATAATGAAATGCCAGTCTTAGCTTTTGACTTGTGGGTTTCATGGTCCCTGAACAATAAGCACAATGCAGTTTTAAAGACTGTTTGCTTATTTGATGCAATTTGGTACTTTTATAGGAGAACGAGGTACTAAGAGAAAAGCACGAAGCTGTGGATCATAGTTCCCAGCGTGAGGAAAATGAAGAAAGGGTGTCAGCCCAGAAGGAGAACTCACTTCAGCAGAATAATGAAGATGAAAACAAAGTAGCAGAGAAACCTGATTGGGAGGCAGAAAAGACCACTGAATCTAGAAATGAGGTACGCCTGTCAGAATATTCAAGCCTTGCCATTTTGGTTTTAATGTAGATTTTGTGGCATTGACAGTTTGTGTTAAGAATGAGCATGTAAGTATGCTCTACTGTTAACAAATATCATATATGAAAATACCTCTGTCTTTAAGTTATGGGAGTAGTAATTTGATTTATAAATGAATTAGCCCATACAGTTATTTCCTCTGGTTAAACTCAAGATTTTGTGTCTGTGTGCACACACCCTCTTCCAGGACCTTGCTAGCAGGTTTTGCTAGTTATGTTTGCCAAGGCAAGGGATGAAGAAATGGTGAACCTAGGAGTCCTCAACCAGCCACATGAACAGGCAACCAGGCTGGCCTAGTCCAGGAGAGCAAGCCGAGGACCAACCCTACAGCCAAACACCCATGATATCAGCTAAGGCTTGGACTCAAATCTTTGTTCAGTCTCCTGGCAGGCCTGGCCGAACCACTGGGCATCCATGGTCCAGTGGGACCACTTCTTTAACTCCTCATTGCCTAACCTTACTCTTTAGCTGTGAGAAGAGGTGTACAAATGAACTCCCAGAGCCAGGCTGAAGGGATGGATGCTTCCTGTGATCTGTGCTTCCTTCTTTCATTTGGGCTGTACTGTGGTTTCTCTTCAGCCCTGCTGAGGTCCTGCCCACAGCATAGCAAACAGGCACTCCAGAGATATTTAATAACCACGTGGCACTTCCACCTGGAAGGCATACCCTCACAGGTCTTGCCCTGATGGTTCTCTTACCATCACCTGCTTTAGCCTGTCCCCTTCCCAGAAGGTGGAGTTTAGGGCTGCGTATTATTAGGGCTTGTAATATTACATGGAACATTACTTATTTGGCATGAAATCAGAAAACAGGTTTGTTCTCTTTGCCTACCTGCCACTCCCTTGCCCCTCCAGCTTCCACCTAGAGCCCCTTGGTGAAATCTAGGGCAGGTTCCATAAATTCTAGATACTCATGAAAATCCCTTTGGCCATCCCAGTGCAGCAATTGATAAGAATAACCCAATGTGGCCATGTACAGTTGCTCACGCCTGTAATCCCAGCACTTTGGGAAGCCAAAGCAGGCAGATCACTTGAGCCCAAGAGTTGGAGATCAGCCTGGGCAACATGGAAAAACCACATCTCCACAAAAATTACAAAAATTAGTTGGTGTGGTGATGTCTTCCTGTAGTTCTAGCTACCCAGGAGGCTGAGGTGGAAGGATCACCTGAGCCTGGGAGGTCAAGGCTGCAGTGAGCTGTGATCACACCAGTGCACTCCAACCTGGGCAACAGAGTGAGACCCTGTCTCAAAAAAAAAAAAAAGGTATAACCCAGTGTAATTTTCAAGAACGCTGAACCAAAAGTTAGCTGGGCGTGGTAGTGTGTGCCTGTGGTCCCAGCTGCTTGGCAGGCTGAGGTAGGAGGATCACTTGAGCCCAGGAGGTTGAGGCTGCACTGAGCCGTCATCATGCCACTACACTTCAGACAGGGTGACAGAGCAGGACCCTGTCTTAAAAAAGAAAAATCCAAAACAAAAAACACTGAGCTAAAAGTCAGCATCTTCCCTCAGTTTTGTGTGGCCTGCCCTGCTGATTTCTCTGGGGTTGAGGGTGTGGGGTGCTAAGAACATAGGAAATTGTTTCTCTTGACCATCCCATACATTTAAATATTATACAACTCTTTGTCACGTGGGCACTTCTTCATGTATAGGTTCTTTGGAGACCCCTGGCCCCACAGCTGGGAGTCTTCCTCTTGACAGAGGCAAATGCATCTCCACTGCAGCTGGTCCTTTAGGGCTGTTCCCTGAATGTTCTGTGGCATACATGCATCTCACCTCTCCAGGTGGCCCTCTCAACCATTCGCTGGCCACCTAGCACCTTAGACCCTTTTTCAGTTCCCTAACTATGGCTCTTGCATGGTTTCTCACCCTTTATATTTCCCAGGCAAAAGTGGGACACTAAGCTTCTGTGTCCCCAAAGTGCAGAGAACACACACCAAGTTCTAAATGGTCTCCTTGAGGCTCTTTTTGCCATTCTTCAGATGAAGGGGAGGGGTAGAGAGCACACCCCAAGGAACCCTCCCATTTTCACTCTGACCACTGCAGCTTCAACCCTTTTGTAACCCTCAATTGCAGCCTGGCATTTGGCAACTGCCTGTTCTTTTTTCCCAGCTGGTTTTCTCCCCAGCTCCTCTGACTTATCTAGGCTTTATATTTATATTTGGATGCGTTATATGGTTTTACCACTCTCCCCACAGCGTACATACTGTATTGTCAAATCAATACCCATGGACTTTTACATTAAAATACGGACAGAACCATATGTATTTTGAAGGGGACATTTCTGACCACTTCCCTGAGTGTTCACAGTTCTCTTTGAGGGAAAAGATGTTTTCACTAGTCTTTCACTTACTTAACACTGAATTGTATATTGCCTTTCTCCGAGGTATGTCTTCATCTTTACTCCCTCACTGGGCTTCCCAGCAAAGCAAGAACTGTTTTCTCTACCTCTACCTGTAACAAATTAATTCACAGCTAGGCACAGAATAGGCACTTACTAAATATTAATGACAAGACAAATGAAGTAGAGAGCTTCCTTGGAGAGAATTAAAAATATAATTTGACATAGGACAAACATCAATTTGGACAAAACTTTTCAGAAACATACTAATCATTCAAAGCCAGGCATTTGTGCCTAGTTCTTATCAGGCTTGGTTCCTCATTGTGTATCTCCATGTTCCTAGCCTGAGCATTTACATCACATCTTTGTGTACTTACACTTTTTTTTTGGGTTGGGGGAGGACAGGATCTCACACTGTCACCCAGGCTAAAGTGCAGTGGCGCTATCATGGCTCACTGCAGCCTCAACCTCCCGAGCTCAGGCGATCTCCCACTTCAGCCTCCCAAGTAACTGGGGCTATAGGTGCACACCACCATGCCCAGCTAATTTTTTGTATTTTCAGTAGAGGTGGGATTTCACCATGTTGCTCAGGCTGGTCTCAAACTCCTGGGCTCAAGCAGTCTGCCCACTTTGGCCTCCCAAAGTGCTGGGATCACAGGTGTGAACCACTGCACCCAGTCACATTTCTTATGGTAGTTCTGACAATATATTTCTGTTCTTTTATTGGGCTATTACTTAGAAGGTGCTTTTAAAGCTTGTTGAAATAAAAATGAGTTAGACCAGTGAATCACTGGCATTTCCATTCTTCCAGATGACAACTCTGGAAGAATATCTAGGAAATGGGGACTGGTACAATTCTGGCTATGCTTTAGGAATCAGAACCCCAGTGGGGGCCCCAAAGCTAGATATAAGATCTGAACTCACACTACCATCACCATCAAGAATCCTCAGCCAAGAGAAGTACAGTCTGGAAAACGATACAAACACTGGTTCTTGAAGAGAAGAATGCAAAACTGCTCCCCGAAAAGCTCACCTTTTAAGAATTAAAAATGACATAAATAGCCATGAGTCAGCATATGTAAGAGTCAGGATTCCTAGTCCTCTGAAAAAGACTCTAAAATAGTGTTTAAATTGTTCATGAAGGAACAGAATCTATAAGGCAAGAACAGACTATCATGAAAAAAGAAAAAGATCTAGAAAAGAGCCCACATGAAATTCTAGATATTAAAAATAGTCATTTTCATTGAAAATTCAGTGGAAGTGGTGTGAACAGCTAAAGAAAAGGGTAAGTTGGAAGACAGATCTAAGAAAATTATCTAGAATGTACCACAAAGATGCAAAATATGAAAGCAAAATTGAGACAATGATAGAAGAGAAAAATCTACGTTACTTCTAATAGGAGTCCCAGAAGAGATATAAAATATGAAAGAGAAGCAATATTTAAAATGAGTTTATGGCAGAATATTTCCAGAAAAGTCCTCAGATTAAAGGAGTACATAGAGCTCGTAATAAAGACAAATTAAGTCCCAGACATATCAGATTGAAACAGAACATCAAGAACTAAGAAGAAAAATCTTTTAAATTACCTGAGATAGAAAAGGTTCATTATAAATAACACTGAGAGCAAACTTACCATTAGTAATAAATGCCGTAAGACAGAGTAGTGAGGGAAAACATTAAACCTTAAATTTACCTGTTAACTCATCATTTAAGCATGAAGGCAAAATAATTCCATGTAGGCCAGGCATGGTGGCTCATGCCTGTAATCCCCTCTTTGTGAGGCCAAGGCCATTGGATCACCTGTGGTCAGCAGTTCAAGACAAGCCTGGCCAACATGGCAAAAACCCATCTCTACTAAAAATATAAAAATTAGCCAGGTGCAGTGGCTAATAGCTGTAGTCCCAGCTATTCGGGAGGCTGAGACACAAGCATCACTTGAACCCAGGAGGTAGAGATTGCAGTGAAATAATAATTCCATGTAACAAAAACTGAGTTTACTGCTCAGGTTCTCTCTAAAAAGAATTCTGAAGAGTTCTTTCAACTAGAAAGAAGCTAAACCATGAAGGCCAGGAGTGAGATGAAGCATTGATAAGTTGGTTTAAAAAAAAAAAAAAATTGGAGTACATGTAAATAAGTATTGACTGTAAAAATTACTTTTTGAGACAAGATCTCATTCTGTTAGGCTGGAGTGTGGCAGCGCTGTCACAACTCACTGCAGCCTCAGCCTCCTGGGCTCGGGCAGTCCTCCTGCCTCAGCTTCACGGAGTAGCTGGGACCACAGGTGCACACCACCACACCCAGCTCATTTTATTTGTAGAGACGGTCTTGTTATGTTGCCCAAGCTGGTCTCCAACTCCTGGGCTCAAGCGATCTGCCTGCTTTGACCTCCCAGTTCTGGGATTACAAGCGTAAGCCACCACACCTGGCCAAAATTACGTAATTGTGTAACCAACTGGGAGGGCTGGCTGTGGAGGGGCAAAATAAGCTGAAACTAAGAACTAGCCAAAAATTATATGGAAGTTGTTTATGGAAGGTATAGAAATACTGATTAACTCTTTAAGTATGCATGTTGAAATATTGAGTACTATAAGAAAAGAAATAGACCACCTGCAGTGGCTCCCATCTGTAATCCCAGCACTTTGGGAGGCCTAGGTGGGTGGATTACTTGAGGTCAGAAGTTCGAGACCAACCTGGCCAACATGGTGATACCCTGTCTCTACTAAAAATACAAAAATTAGCCAGACATAGTGGTGCACGGCTATAATCCCAGCTACTCCAGAGGCTAAAGCAGGAGAATCCTTTGAACCTGGGAGGCAGAGGTTGTAATGAGCCGAGATTACACCACTGCACTCCATTCTGAGCGACAGAGTGAGACTCTGTCTCAATAATAAAAAGTAAAACTTACAACCGAGGAACATAATACGATAAAAACCCAGTGTGGAGATAAGACCTGGTGATCCTTTAAAGATAAAGCCTAAAGCCCCAGACAACCAGCTCGGTCTTTTACGTGAAGGATGCACCTTTTGTGTTTCTCTACAGAGACATCTGAATGGGACAGATACTTCTTTCTCTCTGGAAGATTTATTCCAGTTGCTTTCATCGCAGCCTGAAAATTCACTGGAGGTAATTGGAACCTTGGCTTTTATCCTTGCAGGAACGTATCTGCACTGACTTTTTGGTGAATAAATACAACTCCTTTACTTGGTTGACACAGCAGTTTAAAGTAATGCTTATTTTTACAGAAGCACTTCAGCTTAGAATTAACCAAGTATGTATAGCATTCCTCTTTCCAAATCCCAAAGGTGTAATCAAATTTAGACTGGTCATGGAAAACAGTATGGTGGTTTCTCAAAAAACTAAAAATTGAACTGCCATGTGATCCCACTATCAGGTATTTATCCAAAGGAAAGGAAATCGGTGTATCAAAGGGACACCTGCACCCCCATGTTTATTGCAGCAACATTCATAATAGCTTTATCATTTTAGTGCTTAGAGGCATTTAAGCAACCTCTTTCCTCCAGACTACTACTTCACTGTAGTTTATTATCCCTGACCCGCCACAATGTGATTACCAACCTGCTAGGATGAGAGTTACATCTTATTGTAAAGTAGTAAATTACAAGTTGTAACATTAGACTTTTTAATACAAAAATGCAGTTAGCTTTTATACTAATCAATCTTAATTTCTAGGTTACTCAGAATTCCAAGTATTCTGCAGAATTCCAAGTATTCTGATTTGGACTCACATCATGTATTGTATTGACTGCACTTTAACCAGGAAGTTACTGCCAACAGCATATCTCTATTAAATATAAAGGAACTGACAAGAGAGGAAACAAAAGTTGTGTTAGGTAATAGGACTGCTTCAGAAATAGGGCTATTCATGTTTAAAATGTTTTTCCTTCGTTTTTCAGGGCATCTCATTGGGAGATATTCCTCTTCCAGGCAGTATCAGTGATGGCATGAATTCTTCAGCACATTATCATGTAAACTTCAGCCAGGCTATAAGTCAGGATGTGAATCTTCACGAGGCCATCTTGCTTTGTCCCAACAATACATTTAGAAGAAATCCAACAAGGACTTCACAGTCACAAGAACCATTTCTGCAGTTAAATTCTCATACCACCAATCCTGAGCAAACCCTTCCTGGAACTAACTCGACAGGATTTCTTTCACCAGTTGACAATCATATGCGGAATCTAACAAGCCAAGACCTACTGTATGACCTTGATGTAAATATATTTGATGAGATAAACTTAATGTCATTGGCCACAGAAGACGACTTTGATCCAATCGATGTTTCTCAGCTTTTTGATGAACCAGATTCTGATTCTGGCCTTTCTTTAGATTCAAGTCACAATAGTACCTCTGTCACCAAGTCTAATTCCTCTCACTGTGTGTGTGAAGGTGCTACAGGTTATTGTACTGACCATGAATCTAGTTCCCACCATGACTTAGAAGGTGCCGTAGGCGGCGACTACCCAGAACCTAGTAAGCTTTGTCACATGGATCATAGTGATTCTGGTTTCCATGGGGATCTTACATTTCAACACATATTTCATAACCACACTTACCACTTACAGCCAAGTGCACCAGAATCTACTTCTGAACCTTTTTCATGGCCTGGGAGGTCACAGAAGATAAGGAGTAGGTACCTCGAAGACACAGATAGAAACTTGAGCCGTGATGAACGGCGTGCTAAAGCTTTGCATATCCCTTTTTCTGTAGATGAAATTGTCGGCATGCCTGTTGATTCTTTCAATAGCATGTTAAGTAGGTACTATCTGACAGACCTACAAGTCTCACTTATCCGTGATATCAGACGAAGAGGGAAAAACAAAGTTGCTGCACAGAACTGTCGTAAACGCAAATTGGACATAATTTTGAATCTAGAAAATGATGTATGTAACTTGCAAGCGAAGAAGGAAACTCTTAAGAGAGAGCGAACACAATGTAACAAAGCTATTAACATAATGAAACAGAAACTGCATGACCTTTATCATGATGTTTTTAGTAGATTAAGAGATGACGAAGGTAGGCCAGTCAATCCAAACCACTATGCACTTCAGTGTACTCATGATGGAAGTGTCTTGTTAGTACCCAAAGAACTGGGGGCCTCAGGCCACAAAAAGGAAACCCAAAAGGGAAAGAGAAAGTGAGAAGAAACTGAAGATGGACTCATTATGTGAAGCAGTAATGTTCGGAAACTGATTTGGATCAGAAACCATCGAAACTGCTTCAAGAATTATCTTTAAGTACTGCTACCTGAATAACTCAGTTAAGGCTCTGTTTTGAAGCTTATATGGACAAATGTTTAGGACTTCAAGATCACACTTGTGGGAAATCTGGGGGAGCCACAACTTTTCATGAAATGCATTGTATACAAAATTCAGTTATGTCCAAAGAATAGGTTAACATTTTGAAAACCCAGTAAGACTTTTTGGCAGCCATCCTTTTTAGTAAGTCAGTTACTTCAGAAAGAGCAAACACTGGGGATCAAATTATTTTAAGAGGTATTTCGGTTTTTTAAATGCAAAATAGCCTTATTTTCATTCAGTTAGCACTACAGTAAGCTTTTCAAACACTTTTAATCTTTATATTTAACTTATAAATTCTGCTTTGTTGAAATAAATTTTGTATTTGTATTAAAAATTAACTTTTCTCTTTTATACAGAAATCTCAAGCAAATTTCTTATTTTCCTTCCAAAATATCCACATTCAGGAATATAGATGAACAACAAATAGGGCAGCATAGCAAATTGATCAGACTCAAGCCAAATTGAGGCCAACATAGTATGCCAAAGTAAGGCAAATCCACCCCCCTCCATCCCAATACTTAACACACTGCATACTATGTGATATAGAGTGCATTGAAGACCTGGAGTCACTGGTAGTTTAAGCCACAGGCCTTCCTCATGTAACCAGAGATAGAATGGGCTACTTGCATAAACAGAACTCCTTGTGCGTGTATTAAATCCATAAAATCTCTGGCAGTAGTAAAAGCTATTGGGGGGAAAAAACAGGTGAATGTGAAAATAAACCAGGGTAAGGTAAATTCTAGAAATAATGGCATTTGAAATGAAAACCTCACTAACAGTAAACAGATTGAGTTTTCTGAAGACAGCAATGACCTCACCTAGATGACTGTCAAGTCCGGGGAACATCAACACATTATGTGTACTATAATGTGTACATAAAATTTTATGTCCAATTTTTCAAAATGAAGTTTCTCAGATGCTACTTCTGCTGTTACAGTGTAGAGTATCACATAAATATCTTGGGCTAGAGAAACGCAGTTTATATATACCGTTGGATTTTTGTAATAAAGGTTTTTTTCCCCAAGACCTATTATTTTGCCAGAAATGCTTCTAGATAAAATTATTGCCCCATTCAATGACTCATGGTGTTCAATGATCATTTGTTTAGTCTGCTGACGAGCTGCTTTTTACAAGGGAGTATTTCAAATGTCTTAAGCTTTTGACAGTTATAATTTAAGGACACACGTAAAACATTTCAGTCCACAGTAGGAAATCCTACGGTACCAATTTACTTGTTTCAAAGTTGACTAAGTGCACTCGCACGAGTGCCTGCTTATCAAATAGCATTCTTCAAACCTCTAAAAGGAAAGGACAGCAGAGAGCAGAATTGGTAATCATGGTGAGTCTTTGGCACTGCTGAAGTGCAGTGGCCCCCAAAGATCCAGCCTCGAACTCAAATCCGTCTACCTCAGCCTCTCAAGCTGCTCAGGTTATGCACCATGTCTGGCCTGAAGTTTAAGCTATAAAAAACCTTAAATACAGCACACAGATCAAGTAACTGCAAATGGAATATATTTAAAGATAGTAATGTCTGTACTGAACTTTGTCAATTATTCCCCATACAATGCAGCATACTATTTACCAAGCTTCTATCTTGGATTAAATGAGAGTAACCTAGAGACAACTCAAGTGTATGAGACGTGCTTAGGTCATGTGCAAATACGTTTCATACAAGAGGACTACAGCATATTTTGGCAGTGTAGGTTCCTGAAACTGATGTCCCCTCTCCCATACCAAGGGACTTTTAATTGGTGCATTAAGCAGCCAGCTTTACAAGATCTAATTGGCTATGGGTTGGCTTCCTGACACAACCCCGTCTCCATCTTAACATGCTGGATTCAAGGCATATAAACGAACTGCTTTTCCGACAGTCCAGTTTTAAAGGTAGAAGGAATTCCACATTTGCTTTCCAGTGCAAACCAACTAGATTACAAAGTCAATGCCGAAAACCAAACCACCATTGCCTAGGGCCCTCCACTTTACCTACCTAGTTGAGTAATCTTGATTACAGTATCTAACGTCTTAATCAGAATGAGGAAGATAGGGATAAAGACAACCCAAGTGGGTAGGATATCTTTTCCAATTAAAACTCACTTGAGCATCTTCCGAAGTGTGATCAGATTTTAGGCCAATTGTATGCAAAAGAAAGGCAGGCTTCAGTTGAGCAGAGCTACAGAACCAGTATACAGGGTTTTTGTGGTAATACTAACTTCCCTAAATGCACTCAAGTGGCTAGATCCTTCTTTCCCCATCTCAGTTTTCGAACTATTTGTTCTCTGGTAAATCCATGCAACTCACTGGTTACCCCAATTCCCCTCCCAAAACAAGCCAGTGTTAGTGCATTACTAAATAGTACAAATGTCAAAATTATGTAGGGCCTGTCAACCATCTCAGTACATTAGTTCCAAACCTTAAAGATAGCAAATTTAAATAACATGCACTCCAGGCGACCTGAGATAGGTGTTTTCTACCTTTTGCACTTTTCAACCATCAGTGACAAACTGAGACTTGTTGCCTTACATTGTTAGCTCCCAATACCTAACATTTATTAGGTCAAGCAATTTGACATCTACCGAATTGGGCTACAAGGAAAACCTTACACAGGGAAATCCGGTTTTACACTCATGCATAAACTGAATAAGGGCACACCCTTGAGTGTGACAGCCAGCATCTAAGATAGTTCCCAATGATCCTTGCCTGCTTGGTAATTTACCAGTGAATAGAACCCTCCCACCACACTCTGTGATCATAAAGGATGTAAGATGGCATGACTACTTTGTAGTGTGTTCATTTTACAGCTTTTCTTGCTCACTCACCGAGGGAAGATGACAACCAGCATTAACTTTTCAGCCCTGTTAGTATGCCACTCTGGATATATAAAAAAAAATTATCCAATCCTAGTTTTCTGTGATTGCAACTGTGAGCTTTACCCAGAATCAGTTAAGTTGCTCCCAACTGCTGACCCATAGATGCTGAAGTTTGTTTCTCTAAACTGCTCTAAAAGTAAGTTGTTACACAGCAACAATATAAAGCCCTGGACAAAAGGCAGCCTTTCTTCATTTTAGGGCACCGTCTCAAAGCTGCACAAGAACTACCTTAAACTTCAATTTCTCCAAGAAAAACAGATTCAACACTAGACACACAGGAAATAAACCTATGTTGAATATCCAACATTACACCATGTTTCAGTAAACTCTTCTTCCATCAGTTCATTTCAGTCTATTGTGTAATTACCTAATTCTCCCCTATTTGTATGATATCCCCTTGACCTTGGCTGGATAGGAGTTGGTATTTTGAGGTTATGCATATCAACCTGATGTATTTCAAAGTTCAACGTCTTTGTACATCCAAACATTTTTAAAACTTCAAAATTTTCCTGAAGTTGGGATATTTGTACAAGTCTGTGATGAATTCAGCTATTTAAAACAGAAAAGTGCTTTCTATGTGTTACCCACTGTTAATGTGACTTACCTGTTAGATCTCAAATTATCAAAACCAAAACAAATCATAGAAACAAATCAATTAACTTGGCCCTTATTTTTTGGTTTTCTTAATTCAGATAAATGTCCAAATAAACACATAAAAAGAAAAAAACACTGATATTCATTTACTCTGTGTGAAACACAAACTAATTGACATGTGACAATCTAGTACATATTTTAAGCCTCAGTGCTTTTGCAAAGCCAGTTAATCTAGACCACTCTGGCCGGTTCACCTTTAAAATCCATGATTTTCAAAATGCCACCAGTATTGCTGAACATACAAGGTAAAGCCAGAAACTTTAGTAGGAGTACTCAAACGCTGAATATACAGTGCATAATGAACAGCATTTTATTGGGGACAGTCAATAATGTCCACAATGCTCTTCTCATTTATCTGTTAATATTAAAAGAAAATATGCATAGCCCCAAACTGCTTTAAAAAATTTAGGGGATGGTGATCTTTTAGACAACCGAATGTTTATAGAACAAGATTCACACATTTTATGTGTAAACATTACACCAAGTATTTGGATACAAAAAATATTTATTTTATAAACTTTATATTTAAAATAGAATTGTAATCTGTCTACTCACAAAACCTAATTTAAAACATGATACATTTATCTCTCTAGCCAATTTGATGTTAGTTTTACAAACAATACTCATTTTTTAATTGTTTTATATCAAGAACCTGAACTAAATGTTTGTTTTATCAGAAAACATTTCCCTTTTATTTTAAAGAGTGCTTTTTAAATGAAGGCACCAACAAGAACTACTTTCAGATGGTACAGAATTTCTTATTTCTTGAAGACTCTGTGGTTGACCACTTCTTCATTAGTTACCTGCAGCAAGACACCTTCCTGCCAAAGGAAAAAAAAAGTATCTGAAGAAGTTTATCATGTTTGTCCAAAAGAACCTAAACAACTTCAGTGGTGGTCTTAGGATCAAAGAAGACTCACTGGTGCATATAGCAGAGTAAGCCCTGAGTATCACATTCCTGTAAAGGCAATAAAGCCGGGCAATCAAACTGATGGTATCTAAGGAATGAATTTCAACAGCCAAACTACAACTTTCTCTTCAGGGTAAGACACTGAACTAAAATAACCACATTTAACCCACCTACTTGGTACTGGATACATACAGGCTTCATAATGTAGACAGACACTTCACTCAAGTATGAACTACTATCTGAAAATAGATTCAACCATTTTTGCCCTACCTTCAGTCTCTTCCTGATAAGCATGTACAGTTACAACCATAAATACAACAAATGTCTTTAATAAAAACCCCTAGTTCACTCAAAATGTTTGATCCAAGAAATGTGAATACACAAGGGTGTAACGATGGGAAATCTCATGATTGAACTTGCAGCCTAACTTTTACCTACCATTTTACTACCAACACCACTGAAGGAACCAAGAAAAGCTTTATTAATGATCACTTGGCTTGCCTCAGCTGTTGAAATGAAGCACTTTAGTCTTTGTGGCAGCAGAATATACTTGTCCATGGTTCATATCAATGCTAAAATTCCAGCAGGGAAAAAAATGATATGTTAAGCACCCAAATCTTCACACGGAGGGGGAGGGGGTAGGAAAAGAAGGAAAAAAAAGGGAAAAACAACCAAAATAATTTAAGTAAATGACAGATTGGAAAACAGGGTTTATAAAAATTATTCTCTTGAGTTTATAAATTGTTAAACTCAATTTATAGCTATGTTAAACTACGTAAGAACCACTATACTGAAAGACCATTTAAGAGTATTAGTTTATCTTTTAGGGAGGAAAATTAAGAAAGGAAAAGTAAATAAGATCTTACCTAAAGAAGTTTAACTGAAGCTTAGAACTATTTTGCTCTACACCCTCAGCTTTC